GATGAACAGCTGAGACTTGAAACCAAGAAGGAAGAATTGCGATTGGAATTTGCAAATTTGATTTCGGAATTCACGGCTTATGTCAAATTGGAAATTGAAAATGCAAGTCTTCGTGAGTTTGGATTTACACTTGAAGAAGTTGAGGCGTACAAGAAAGTGATTGACGAGACTGATAAACAAGTTTTAGGAAATGCAAGCAAGATGAAGGAGTCATGCGAGAAGGTGAAAGTTGAGATGGACGAGTACAAAGTGACGAATAATCCGTACACTGGGCTCACAATAAAAGACTCCGCAACCTCCTTCCAGACACTCCAAGACGCACTTTCGGAGCGAACAAAAGCCTACGAAGCTGAGCTTAAGCGCCAGCGAGAAAACGACGAGTTGTGCAAGAAATTTGCGCAGTTGGCAGATCCGTTCTCGAAATGGATCACTGAACAAAAAGATCAAATCACAGCTTCAAAGGAGTCGCTTGAAGTGCAGCTTGCGTTTGTGGACAAATGCATCTCGAGCTTGTCGACAGAGCAAGCCAAGTTGCAGCCCTTGAAGGATCTCCAGGAAAAGATGGACAAAGCAGGAATCCAAAACAACAGACACACTACATTGACATTAAAAGATTTGCTAGTTCAATGGGGACAATATGAGAACTTTTTGAAACGCAAGAAGAAGATGCTTGAGGAGGAGATTGAGCACCAGAAACTGCGCGGTATTACTGCCGAGCAGATGCAGGAAATTGAAGAGAACTTCAAGCAATTTGATTTTGACAATTCAGGCACTATTGATAGAAAAGAGCTTACTGCTTGTCTTTATTCTCTTGGGGAAGAGAGAACCCCAAAGGAGATCAATAAAATCATGGAGGAATATGGTGATGGCAAGGATATTTCTTATGAGCGCTTCAAGGATTTCATGATTGTTTTGTTTGGTGATACAGATACTAAAGACGAGATTATTAATTCCTTTATTTTGATTAATCGCGGCCACAAAGTTGCTAAGAAAGATCTTATGGAATTAGTTATGGATGACCAAGATATTGAGTATATTCTCAAAACTGCTCCTCAAGTTGATGAGGGTTATAATTATCATGCTTGGACTGAAGAAGTTTTTTCACGTTGATTTAATTAATTTTTTTTAAAAAAAAAACACAATAATAATAAATCAACGAACTTAACCAAAACATTTATTAATTTTAAAAATATGAATTAAAAATTAAATAAAAATTAAATAAAATATGAAATAAAAATTAAATAAAAATTAAATATAAAATGAAATATAAATTAAATAAAATGTGGAATAAAAATTAAATATAAATTAAATAAAATGTGGAATAAAATGTGGAATAAAAATATTAAATAAAAATTAAATAATAGAAATAAAATTAAATAAAAATTAAATAAATATTAAATATAAATTAAATAAAAATTAAATAAAAATATGAAATAAAAATGTGGAATAAAAATATTAAATATAAATTAAATAAAATGTGGAATAAAATGTGGAATAAAAATATTAAATATAAATTAAATAAAATGGAATAAAAATATTAATTATAAATTAAATAAAATGTGGAATAAAAATATTAATTATAAATTAAATAAAATATTGAATAAAAATATTATAAATTAAATAAAATGTGGAATAAAAATATTAATAATAAATTAAATAAAAATATTAAATAAAAATGTGGAATAAAAATGTGGAATAAAAATATTAATTAATTTATTTATTAAAAATTAAAATTATTATTTAAAATATTAAATTTTAAAAAATAAGAAAAAATTAAATTTAATTAAAAAGCCATAGTTTAATTTTAAATAAAATATGGAATAAAAATGTGGAATAAAAATGTGGAATAAAATATTAAATATAAATTAAATAAAATATGGAATAAAAATGTGGAATAAAAATATTAAATATAAATTAAATAAAAATGGAATAAAAATATTAAATATAAATTAAATAAAATGTGGAATAAAAATATTAAATAAAATGTGGAATAAAATATTTAAATAAAAATATTAAATATAAATTAAATAAAAATATGAAATATAAATTAAATAAAATATTATTTATTAATTAAATAAAATGTGGAATAAAAAATAATAATAAATTAAATAAAATGTGGAATAAAAATATTAAATATAAATTAAATAAAATGTGGAATAAAATGTGGAATAAAAATATTAATTAATTTATTTATTTATTAAAAATTAAAATTATTATTTAAAATATTAAATTTTTAAAAAAAATAAGAAAAATTAAATTTAATTTAATTTAAAAAGCCACCTTAGCTCAGTTTTAATTTATAAATTAAATATAAATTAAATAAAATATGGAATAAAAATATTAAATATAAATTAAATAAAAATATTAAATAAAAATGTGGAATAAAATATTAAATATAAATATTAAATAAAAATGTGGAATAAAAAATTAATAAATAAAATAAAAAAAATGTGGAATAAAATGAATAAAAATATTAATTAAAAATTAAATAAAATGGAATAAAAATATTAAATATAAATTAAATAAAATGGAATAAAAATGTGGAATAAAAAATTAATTTAAATTAAAAAAATGGAATAAAAAGCCAAATATAAATTAAATAAAATATGGAATAAAAATATTAATTATAAATTAAAAAAATGTGGAATAAAAATTAAAAAAAATAAATGTGGAATAAAATGTGGAATAAAAATATTAAATATAAATTAAATAAAATATGGAATAAAAATATGAAAATAAAAATATTAAATAAAATGTGGAATAAAATATTAATATTAAATTAAATAAAATGTGGAACAAAAATATTAATTATAAATTAAATAAATATGGAATAAAAATATTAATTATAAATTAAATAAAAATATTAACATAAATTAAATAAATATTAAATAAAATGTGGAATAAAAATATTAAATATAAATATTAAATAAAAATGTGGAATAAAAATATTAATTATAAATTAAAAAAAAAATAAAAATTAAAATAAAAAATAAAAATGTGGAATAAAAAATATTAATTATAAATTAAATAAAATGTGGAATAAAAATGTGGAATAAAAATATTAAATATAAATTAAATAAAATATGGAATAAAAATTAAATAAAAATATTAAATAAAAATATTAATTATAAATTAAATAAAATGTGGAATAAAAATATTAAATACAAATTAAATAAAATATGGAATAAAAATATGAAATAAAATAAATAAAATGTGGAATAAAAATATTAATAATAAATTAAATAAAAATGTGGAATAAAAATATTAAATATAAATTAAATAAAATGTGGAATAAAAATATTAATTAAATAAATTAAATAAATAAAATGTGGAATAAAAATATTAAATAAAAATATTAAATATTAATTAAATATAATGTGGAATAAAAAATGTGGAATAAAAATATTAAAATAAAATGTGGAATAAAAATTAAATAAAAATATTAAATAAAATATGGAATAAAAATATTAATTATAAATTAAATAAAACAAAAATAAAAACATTAATATAAATAAAATAAAATGTGGAACAAAAATATTAAACATAAATTAAAAAAAAATGGAATAAAATGTGGAATAAAAATATTAATAATAAATTAAATAAAATGTGGAATAAAAATACAAATATAAATTAAATAAAATGTGGAATAAAAATATTAAATAAAAATGAAACAAAAATATGGAATAAAATGTGGAAAAAAAATATTAAATAAATTAAACAAATGTGAATAAAATGTGGAATAAAAATATTTAAATATAAATTAAATAAAAATATTAAATACAAATTAAATAAAAATATTAAATATAAATTAAATGAAATATGGAATAAAAATATTAAATAAATTAAACATAAATAAAATAAAAAAAATAAAATAAAATTAAAAAAAAAAAAATAAAAATTAAATATAAATTAAATAAAAATATTAAAAAATAAAACGAAAAAAAATGTGGAATAAAAATATTAAATATTAATTTAAATAAAATATGGAATAAAAATATTAATTATAAATTAAATAAAAATATTAAATAAAATTAAATAATAATTAAATAAAATGTGGAATAAAAATATTAATAAAAATTAAATAAATATTAAATAAAAATGGGAATAAAATGTGGAATAAAAATATTAATTATAAATTAAATAAAATATTAAAATAAAATATTAATTATAAAATTAAATAAAAATATTAAATAAAATATTAATTATAAATTAAAAAAAATATGGAATAAAATGTGGAATAAAAATGTGGAATAAAATGTGGAATAAAAATATTAAATAATAATTAAATAAAATGTGGAATAAAAATATTAATTAATTTATTTATTAATTGAATAAAAATATTAAATATAAATTAAATAAAATGTGGAATAAAATGTGGAATAAAAATATTAATTTATTTATTTATTAAAAATTAAAATTATTATTTAAAATATTAAATTTTTAAAAATAAGAAAAATTTAAAATTTAATTTAAAAAGCCACCTTAGCTCAGTTTTAATTTATAAATTAAATATAAATAAATAAAAATATGGAATAAAAATATTAAATATAAATGAAATAAAATGTGGAATAAAAATATTAAATATAAATTAAATAAAATATGGAATAAAAATATTAAATATAAATTAAATAAAATGTGGAATAAAATGTGGAATAAAAATATTAATTAATTTATTTATTTATTTATTAAAAATTAAAATTATTATTTAAAATATTTAATTTTAAAAAAATAAGAGAAAAAAATTAAATTTAATTTAATTAAAAAAGCCACCTTAGCTCAGTTTTAATTTATAAATAAAATATAAATAAAATATAAATTAAATATAAAATGAAATAAAAATATTGAATATAAATTAAATAAAATGTGGAATAAAATGTGGAATAAAAATATTAATTAATTTATTTATTTATTTAATAAAAATTAAAATTATTATTTAAAATATTAAATTTTTAAAAAAAAAAATAAGAAAAAAAAAATTAAATTAAATTTAATTAAAAAAAGCCACCTTAGCTCAGTTTGGCAGAGCGCTTGTCTTGTAAACAAGAGGTCCCTGGTTCGAGTCCAGAAGGTGGCATTTATATTTTTTTTATTTTTTTTATTTTTTTAATTTTTTAATTAATTTTTTTTCATTTTTCTCTTTTCTTTTAAAAGAATGAAATTAAGAATTCATCAAACAAGAACTCTTTTAAGAAAGAATTGGATTCAATCAAAAAGAAATTTAAAAAGCACTTTGTAAACAATTTTTAAAAAGATTTTAATAATATTTCTTTATATTTTTTTGATCAAAATTAAATGAAATTAAATGAAATTAAATGAAATAAATTTTTTTGATACGTATCAATTAAATTTTTTTTCTTTATTTGATCATTTAATTACATTTTTAATCAGAAACCATTTTTTTAAATACATCAAATTTTATTAATTTTCACTAATTAAATTAATTTGATTTAAACTTATAAATTTTTCATTTTAAATTTTTAAACTTAATTTAGATGCACAATTTTGGTTCCAGTTATTTTTAATGTTCTTCTTCTGATATTTGGAGCAATTATTAAAGCATCAAGATTAGATGCTAATAAAGGAAAGTAAGCTAAAAAATTTTAATTTTAATTTTAATTTTAATTTTAATTTCAAAATGAATTTTAATTTCAATTTCAATTTCAAAATGAATTTCAATTTCAATTTTAATTTCAAATTGAATTTTAATTTCAATTTTAATTTCAAAATGAATTTTAATTTCAATTTTAATTTTAATTTCAATTTTAATTTCAATTTTAATTTCAAAATGAATTTTAATTTTAATTTTAAATTGAATTTTAATTATAATTTCAAAATGAATTTTAATTTTAATTTCAAAATGAATTTTGATTTCAAATTTAATTTTAATTAAAAAAGACAGAAATCCAAAACTTGAACCAATTAATTTCCCAAAATGTGATACAGTAAGTTAAATTCAAAATCAAAATTAAAAAATTTTTTTAAATTAAAAAAAAATATTTCTTTATTTACAGATAGCATGTTATGACTTTGTTTACAATGAAAAAAACAACACAAAAGTTCAAGAAATTGTTCAAAAAGTATTTTCGTTTATTTAAAACTAAAAAAAAGACAATATAATTTAAAAAAAAAATCAATTTAAAGATTTGTGATAATGAAGGAATAAATAAAGCAACTAGTACTTTGGGTTTTGATACAGCGAATGAAGTAGATTATTATCTCTCAAATAATACCAACAAAACTTATGTTGGATATATGTTTTTACTACCAAATGGATCTTATAACGATATACCAGATACAACAAATGTAATCATTTTTTTTTAGGAAAAAAATAAAAAGAAGATCCAAAGAAGAATAAAAAAAAATGAAACAAAACAAAAAGAAGAAGTTATCAAAACTTGAACTAACCAAAAAAAAATAACAAAAAATTTGAACTAATCAAAAATAAAAAGTTCTCAGTAGTAGTGAATCAATCAACCATATATCAATCTACAGGACTTGATGATTTTTTGGATGTTTTTGTTCCTGCTCAATATGCTTTACAGAAAGCCTTGTTTGAAGTTCTTCAAAATAAATCAATGAGTTTTGATGTGACGACAATGAAATATCCTCATCCTCAATTAACACCTACAGATGCTATTCCTATAATGGCTCCTACTTTTTATTTTTGGTCAGCTTTGTTTCAGTTGGTTATTCAGATGACACAAATTGTTCAAGAAAAAGAATATCGGCAAAGATTTGGGATGATTGTTATGGGGTTGAAGGGTAGTTTTATTAAAATCCATTTTTAAATTAAATTTAAAATTGAAATTCATTTATAAATTAAAATCCATTTATAAATTAAAATTAAAATTGAAATCAAAATCAAAATCAAAATTGAAATTAAAATCAAAATCAAAATCAAATTTAAATTAAAATTAAAATTAAAATTAAAATTAAAATTAAAATTATAATTAAAATCAAAATTAAAATTAAAATCAAAATTAAAATCAAAATTAAAATTAAAATCAAATTTAAAATTAAAATTAAAATTAAAATTAAAATTAAAATTCAAATCAAAATTGAAATTAAAATCAAAATTAAAATTAAAATTAAAATTCAAATTGAAATTAAAATTAAAATTAAAATTAAAATTAAAATTAAAATCAAATTTAAAATTAAAATTAAAATTAAAATTAAAATTCATTTATAAAATTTAATAAAAAAGGTACATCTTATTGGATATCATGGTTCATCGCTAACTTCATCACAATTGTGATCTCAATATTCTTACAAATCGCAACTGGAGCAATGTTTCAATTTGAATTCTTTTTAGAAAACGCATTTGGAACATATTTCTTTTTATTTTTCCTTTTTGGATTAACAACGATCTCATTAGCATTTTTTTTCACTTCAATTCTTGGAAAAACAAAAACAACAACAACAGTAGGATTTGTGATGTTTTTCTTTTTCACTATACTAAACGCAATAACAACGAACGTAATCTTCCAATCGAGCGTACCAAGCTGGGTGCGTACTATACTCTCTTTTCTTCCGCCAGTGGTTTTCTCGAAGGGAGTGTTTGATCTCGCGGATAAAACTTCAGCTCCGCAATTTCACGGAATCAGATGGGCCGATCGCGGGCACAACGCAAGTATGTACTCGCTTACGACAATATACAACTGGCTCATCTTGGATTTCGTCATCTTCTTTGTTCTCGCGCTTTATCTGGACAACGTCGTTCCCTCTTCTTCAGGAATAGCAAGACATCCGTTATTTTTCCTGCAGAAATCTTATTGGACTGGAAAATATAAGAAAAAAAAACAAACACAAATCTCTTCAGAAACAGACAATTTGCTCGATGCAGATGTTCTCCAGGAAAAGAAGATGATTGCAGACGGCGAGTCTCCAGAGACAACCGCAGTCTCCATTGTCAATCTGACCAAAGTGTTCAAAAAAACACTTTTCCAAAAAAAAACCGATTTCAAAGCAGTTGATTCTCTGTTCCTAACGCTGCGCAACGGTGAGCTACTCGGCTTGCTCGGACCCAACGGATCGGGCAAATGCCTTGGTTTGGGAACGCCTGTCATAAAGTACAACGGCGATGTTGTTCCCGTGGAAACAATCTCGATCGGCGATGTTCTTCTTGGCGACGATTCTTCTCCTCGTCGTGTCCTTGCAACAACACGAGGCACAGGCCCTCTCTTTAATATCACTCCCCTCAAAAACCCCAACTTTGTTCTTCCGTATACCGTCAACGATAAGCATATTCTTTCTCTCAAACTCGTCCAAAATATCTCCTACACTTATGATCCCCTCTCTTCTTCCGTTACTGTCCGTTGGATCCAAAACCATACTCTTATGTCTCGCATATTCCCCAATGTCTCTTCTTCTTATCTTCCATTCTCAACCCCTCATATTGCTAAATTCATCCGCAAGCTCAGAAAATCTGATAAAATCAACCATTGTGGCGATGTTGTCGATATTTCCGTTACAGATTTCATCCAAAAACCTCATGAGTGGAAATCAATGTACCACGGATACAAAGTCGGCGCCTCTTTCGCCAAGCAACAATCCTCTCCCAAAAAGGGCACTCTCCATCATCTTGGTGTTGTTCTCGGCAATTTCATCCGCGATCATCGAAACTCCCAAAATTTCTCCTCAATTTCCTCGCAAACACATCCCCAACTCGCACAGCTTCTCTCAGCAATCTCCCCGCAAGGCATCCCCAACATAGACAATCTCAGAAAAATTGCGCTTACTGACGAGCAAGATCGCCGCGAATTCCTATCTGCAGTTGTTACCAGCGCAGGTTCTGTGATTTCCAACAAAGAAAACATTGCTGAAATTGATTGCGGAAATCAAAAAGAGATCAGAAACAGTCTCGAGTTCATTGCTCGCTCTTTGGGTCTTGCATTTGTCAGTGTTCCCAATCAAAAACAACACCGCGAAACAATAAGAATTTTTGGATCACGAATTGAGAACTTTTGGATCAATAACGGAAAAAAACGTCAAAAAACAAACGAAAAAGCAAAAACAAGAAAATCAATGGAAGAAGAGCATCTCAGCTGCGAAATACGTGTTGAGCCCGCAGGAATGGGAGAGTACTATGGATTTGAGATCGATGGCAATGGACGGTTTCTTCTTGGCGATTTCACAGTCACACACAACTCAACAACAATCAACATGCTGATCGGGTTATTTCGACCCACAAGTGGAGATGCGTTTATTCTCGGGCGTTCCATCATCACAGATATCGATGCTATTCGTCGGCAGCTCGGTGTTTGTCCGCAGCACGATATCTTGTGGGATGAGCTTACTGCGAAGGAGCATTTGGAGTTATTTGCAAAACTCAAAAATATGAAAAGCAAAGAAATCAAAGATGAAATTTCTCAAAGACTCGAAGAAGTAGAGCTTTCTGATGTTGCTAATTTAAGAGTAGGAGCTTTTTCTGGTGGAATGAAACGTCGTTTATCTCTTGCTATTGCTTTGACTGGCTCTCCTAAGATTTGTTTGTTTGATGAATGCACAACTGGTTTGGATCCTGTTGCTAGAAGACAAGTTTGGAATATTATTCAGAAAGCGAAGAAGGATCGTGTTATTTTGTTAACAACTCACTGTAAATCCAAAACCAATTTCAATTTAAAATTCATTTCAATTTAAAATTCAATTTGAAATTAAAATCAAAATTCATTTCGAAATTCAATTTGAAATCAAAATTCAATTTGAAATTAAAATTCAATTTGAAATTAAAATCAAAATTCAATTTAAAATTCAAATTGAAATTAAAATTCAATTTGAAATTAAAATTCAAAAATTTAAATTTAAAATTAAAATTCAATTTGAAATTAAATTTAAAATTTAATTTGAAATCAAAATTTGAAATTAAAATCAAAATTAAAATTCAATTTGAAATTAAAATTAAAAATTCAATTTAAAATTCAATTTAAAAATCAAAATTCAATTTAAAATCAAAATTCAATTTGAAATCAAAATTCAATTTGAAATTAAAATTCAATTTGAAATTAAAATCAAAATTCAATTTAAAATCAAAATCAAAATCAAAATCAAAATTCAATTTGAAATTGAAATTAAAAT